ATGTTTTCTTTATTGTATCAAATTCATTTTTCAGATCTTGGAATGTTTCTTTCATCTGTTTAATTGCTTTTTCTTGGCTTTCTTTGATTTCTTCCCTTTTTTGTTCATTTTTTTCTTCCATTTATTTAAGGGAATTTTTAATTTCCTCTTTAATGGAGTTTTTCATTACCTCTTTAAGGGAACTTTTTATTTCTTCTTTAAGGGAATGTTTTATTTCTTCTTTAAGGGCATCTATCATCTTCTTAAAGTCGATTTTAGAGTTAATTTCTTCTGTCCTGGTATGTTCAGGTCTTGCAGGTGTAGAATCACTAGGTTCTGATGTTGCCATATAGGTCTTTATGTTGTTGCCTGTATTTTTGCACTGGCATCTACTCATCTCTTTCTCTGCTCGGTGCAGGCAGTGTCTGTGTCTGAGAGTGCCTCCCTTGTTCTAATTTTTAGTCTTGGTTCACTAGAAGTTCATGTTTAAATTGATGCTGTTGGGCTGTTTCTTCAGGAGCAGCTGATCTCAGTCGGTGAAGTATATAGTTATGATTCTGGTGATCTGGTTTGGTGGCTGGGTGGCACCTTCTTCTGTGTTTTCAGGTCATGTTTTGTTCATTCGTCAACTCCTCAGCTGATCTTGTTTCCTCAGACTTCAAACTGTAGGGATCTGAATCCTCTCCTGGATGGATTTCAGCTGAGCGGGGTAGTCTCACCAACACCTCTAAGTCTTTGGGTTTCACAGGATCAGCAGCTGGGCCCTGGTTTGGCCTCAGACAGAGTGTTCAGATTCATTCTGGTTCCGTCCCACAGAGATAGCTTCTTCCCCCGAGTGTTGGGATTAAAGGCGTCCCTGTTCTAATCTCTTGATTAAGAGCTTGTTTTCACTAACTCTTCAGCGGGTAATAGCTCAGTTTCTGGTCTTTATTGCAACTGTGTTTCAGCTGCCACATGCTGGGCCTGCCTGCCTCTGCTGGGCCTGTCTGCTTCTGCATGCTGCCGCCAGGCCTACCTGCCCCTGCCTGCTGCCGCCACCACGCCAGTCTACTTCTGCTGGCCGCCGCTGGGCCTACCTGCCACTGCATGCCACCACCGGGCCTATCTGCCTCTGCCGACCTCTGCCGGGCCTGTCTGGTAGTTCTTTTCTATAGCTTCATAAAGCTTTAGCTCAAAAGCGAATAGATGCATTTCCTAAGAATTTACTATGAAAGCCCCAAGTAATCACAGGACGCTTTAACACCCCATTCCACCATGCCCATGTGCTAACTGACTCTGAGATACATACCTCAAACAGAGTTTTGATTTTGAAGACCTGAAAAAGGCAAAGAATCATCATAATTCAGATCAGCTGTGCTCCACCATAATGACTTGTGAGCTCAGAAAAGCAATTAGTCACCAAAAGACTTGTGGCACAGTTGTTTGGCCACATTGACCATTCACTTCATTTAGAGTAATGAACTTGTTTGTGCAGTCTTCGCCTATTGCATTTCTCTTTTTCTTCAATGCTGGGAGTTGAGCTTAGGGACCCACATATCCCAGGCAAGCCTTCCTGCCATTGAGCTCTATGCCCAGCTCTGCTAGTGTGTTTCCAAATGGGCAGTACAGCGCCACCAGTGTTTATATGCGGACAGCTCTGGGGGTTTCATTTTCATTTCTACTCTTCTGGTGTAAGATCCCATGTTTTATCGATGTCTTTTTAAAAATATTTCTCTTTTTATGCATATATATGGGTTTCTGAATGAGTCTGTATGCACCACTTGTGTGAAGGTGTCCACAGAGGCTGGAGGCATCAGGTTTCCTGGCTAGAGTTACATTACAGGCAGTTGTAGTTTTCCTGTGTGGGTGCTAGGAGCCGCACAGGGGTTCTCTGCAATGCCTTTAACCGCTGAGCCATCTCTCCAGCCTGTTTTGTCCATTTTTGTGTATGATGGTGGGCTACTGGGTCCTGTAATCTCTGAGACCAAGATCAAGTTCTTCCAAACAACAGGACTTATGCTCTTCTATAATATCCTACACAAATGAAGAAGAAAAGAAGCATTGGGGTTAAAATAAACTCAGCTTGACATGTCAGGTCTCCTGGCAACAATAACCCTGTCTTTTCAGGGCACCTGCTGACTGACACTGCTTCAATAGAAACTCCATAGGTCAGGGTCACTGCTGTGTTTACTCTGTGTCCCCAGCGCTAGCTCAGTGCCTGGCACGCAATAGGTGCCACTCTGTGTGGGGGGGGGCGGCGGGGGGGCAGGCACAGACAGAGACAGGGAGAGGCACAGACAGAGAGTAATAAAAATTTACCACCTGAAACAGGGAACTAAGGAAAAGAGTTGTGCATTGAGGCAGAATTCACTGAACACTGCAGAGTACCAGTACTATGCTAAAAACACACCAAAGTCACTAAACCCAGGCATAAAACTTCGTGCACTGTATTTATCAAAAAATTGGTTAGATATTTCCTTGAAGTCTGCTAGTAGTTTCGACTGTAGTAAGCATTAGAATTTCCAGCCCCAGATTAGAAGCTCTGCTGGATGTTGTTTGTGAATACAGCAGCAGCAATTGGGCTTCATAGAAAGAAAGCCACAGCCTATGCTGAACAAAGAACAGTGCCGAAGTCTGACTCTTCGTCTCCACTGTCGTGTGAACCTGTCTCCATATGTGTGCATCTCCAAGTCTCCACTGTCCCATGTGCATGTCTCATGTGTGTGCTCAGGTGTTGACATAGGGAAGGTGTTACAAATGAGGGGGTAAAAAGAAAAGGACAGGATAAGAGACATCAAGATAAACAGCAGCCAGGCCCCACTGGAAAGAGTTCTGAGTGGGGGTAAAGAAAACCGGCCTGCAGGAAGCTTGCCCAGGCTATGAGATGACTTTTCCCTTCTCATTTTGAAACCTCGTTATCTCCAGAGAATTACAGGTTCATGGGAAGTTGTAAAGACAGCACTAAGAGGCTTCTCCTGTCCATTTTTGTCTGCTGTGATTTAGGAGACAGATGACTTTGGAGAGATGGTTTGTTTGGATCTGAGATTGTTGTTTCCCCATTTAATCTGTGGTGATTGGATGCTTAAGGGTTAGGCTCCTCAAGAGCCACGTGAGAAGAAAATATGTCATCTTATAAAAGCAATATAAATATACTTAATGTGCAGAAAGCATTAGGAGGTCTCATAGATTCTGAGAAAAATCTATCATGCTGCATAGCAACTGATGTTAATGATTATGGTCATAAACCACATAATAAAGGATCTGTGGGCTCTGTTTAGGGAGGCAAAAACTATCAATCGTGAAGTCCACAGTAAAAACTAGAAAGGACTCAAATGTTTACCAATAGGGAACTAGTTGAATAAGTTGTCCTGTAGAATAACTTTATGGTGTAGAATTCTAAGCACACACTAAGAGCAATGACTTAACATGTGTATATATATCTCATATAGATATGTATCTGGAGACATATATGTATGTACGTTTTATCTATCTTCCTTTCATCCTTTCTTCTCCTCCCCTCCCCCCTGCTCCTGACTGACACTGAGGAATAGAATGCACGGTGGCCTGGTGTCACGTGGCCTGGTGTCATACTCTAATTACTGCATCGGCTTCACTTTCACTTGGTGAGGGCCGAGGGTCTTTTGACTTTAATTATCAATCCAATGCTGATGGCTTGAGATTTACATCTCCAATGCTCTCCCTTCACCCAACCGCAGATTCTTACATTCAGTTGTCAATTTGACATTTTCCCGTGGATTTTCAAATGTTCACAACAGTGTACTGACCTATTGCCTTCCAAGATCCTCTCCCTTCTCCAAGGCATCCCTGTAGGAATCAGCTTTTGCTTATCTTTTTGTCTCTTATTTTAACCCAACCCCATTTCCTATCACTCTGCTGTAATTGATGCTACCTTCTTTCTGGTTTTTAGCAAGTCAAGTTCACCTTCCACTCAGGAACTCTGCCTTTGCTGTTTCATCTCAAATGTCCTCTCTTTGGGAACAGTTCTCTGTTCAGTCTGCTCAAGCCTCCTTCACCCTCATTCGGTCTCTCCACCTCGTTTTATGTATGTACAACACATATTTTACCACCAGTCTCCCACTAGAACGCAATCTTCATGAGAGTCATGAAACTCCCTATCTTGTTAATACCTGAAATCAGAATATCTTTAAAGAGTTCCTGGAACATAAAAAAAAAGCTCGATTAATACGTGTGTTAAGTAGGGAGCTTGGGTGTAACTCAGTGGTAGAGTGCTTGCCGTGGAGAAGGAGGACCATAGGTTCAACTTCCAGAACAGAATAAAAGATTACACTGAATCAAGTTGAGGAGGATGTAGAGCAGTTTATAGTGCAAATAGCATAAGACATAAATCATGAATTCGTATTTACGTTTCTACCAAGAAGTGTTTTAGTCTTTACTTGAAGTAAACTACATCTTAATTACAAGTAACATTTGGTAAAGACTGTATTCTCAAAACAAGCTATGGCTACCCAGCAGATGAGGTACGGAGCGAAGTTTTCTTTTTGGATTATGACAGTAACATGTCACAGTGCACATGAAACACCTGTGAATTGTAAATACACCAGGCAATCAAATAAGAAAAATTGTCCCACCCAGTTCTCATTCTTTTGGATTGGTTGCTGTATATTTCTGGAAAATTATTTAAATTAATGCCCCCAAAGGTCACAACATAACTGACCATGATGAAAAGCTTCTGCCTGTTTTGGTTTACATCATGCTCAATGTCTTTAATGGATGCACTCATTTGTAGCATGTTTACTTCTACTTTTTACATACGCAGAAGCACAACGTTAGCTGCTGTCCCTGGGCCTGAATGTTATGTCAGCACACGAGGGACAGATCTTTGGCTTATCGAATATTGCAGCCCTCTGCTTGTTTTGGAACATCTTCTGTTGCTATGGACTTAGTTCAAGGCCAGGTAATACTATTTTTTCTTTTTTCTAACAGGAGGACAAATAGTTAGTTGTTTGCTTTGGTCACCCAAGTTCAAGTTATTGGACCATGGTCCTATGCATATAAAAAGTCTAGTTTGAGCCACTGTTTGGGGGCAGCCTTACCTGGCTAAGCACAGACCTTGGGAGTTTTTCCTGCTTTGCAAAATGATGACTATCTCTTTGATTTGGGGAATTGCTGTGGTAGTGTGCTGCTGCATATGGGTTATCTTTGGCATAAGGAGAAGGTATGAAAAGAATTTCTTGAATTTATCTTTTAGCTTGTTTCTGTCATTCTTTACCTTCACTATTATACAGTTTTTAAAAATACTAGTATATTAGTATTTTTATCTAAAATTTAAAGCCATTCTTCTTTGACTAAACCTGACAAGATGTAGACAGTTTTCCCTTTGAATATTCACATACACTGATGGTCATGCAGATCTTGTTAAACATAACTAAAAAAATGTATAAATTATTGATGCATGTTTGTGTGAGAATGTGTGGAAAAAACCTAAGCTGGGAAGAGTGCATTTAGCAAGGGTGATATTTGGAAGGGTTCTTTGTATCATATGAATTGAATAGATGCTCTGGCTAAGCATGTGTTCATTTGGGTTTTTTGTTATGTCAACATTAAAATATGGAAATACCCCAGCATATCTTCAGTGAGGTAGACTGCTGTCTGTTGTCTCACTTTTAAAAATTTATTTGCTCTTTGAATTATTTTAAGTCATGTCTGATAGTTTCCAGTTTTAATTAAACAGCTTATCATAATGTTAAGAAAGAAAAAATCAATTATATTCAGTTATTCTAACAAGAGATAAGTAGTTCATGTTGGAAAATAAGTAAGCTTATAATTTCTAATAAAACATTTAAGAGAGCTGAATATCAGTAAATTATAGTTGATAATCTGCCAATGCTTATCTCCCCCAACTTCATTTTATAATATTCTGATTGTTTAAATGGGATTCCTATTCTCTTCAAATATTATCACAGAATAATAATGCCCTTCTTTTCAGAGCTGGGAATCAAGTGGAAGATTTCATATGTGCTAGGCAAGAGCGCCATCCTTGAGCCACACCTCCAGACCCCAGAATGCCAATTTTTTTTTTAAGGATTTATTTATTTATTATGTATACAGTGTTCTGTCTGTACATACCGCTACAGACCAGAAGAGGGCGCCAGATCTCATTATAGATGGTTGTGAGCCACCATGTGGTTGCTGGGAATTGAACTCAGGACTTTTGGAAGAGTAAGCAGTGCTCTTAACCTCTGAGCCATCTCTCCAGCCCCGCCAATATTCTTAAGTTGTGTATATTTTAAAAACTTCATTCCTGTAGCCTTTTCTGTTATTTGGTGTTTTACATCTTCAAAGAAAGGGAACAAATGAAACATTTTAGGCATTTGGACAAATGATTCATTGAATGGGTTAAAGCATTAGATAATAGCTTCATTGCTACAAAAGAGCAAGAATCTTGTTGGTTATATTGACACTATTGACATAGATGTAGTAAACAATTTAATGAGTGCTTGATGAATGTAGGTATGTACATATATATAGTGGTGGATAGACTGATGGATGGGTTGGTAGATGGATTGATGAGTGGGTAGATTTAGTGATCACCTTCACCAATATCTTAATAGGCTAAAAAATCCACTATTTAAGTAAAAGAATGGAATAACTATCACAAGAAGTATCAATGAACTCTAGTTATGAAGCTTGAAATAAGTGGTAGAAACCAGTAAAAACCTGACTTTCATAAAAATTCCAAACATGTGATTTTCCAAATCTCTCAAATCTGTCTTACAGGAAAGTAGGGGAACCTCCACTGGAAAATGGGCTGATTCCATACCTGGGCTGTGCTCTGAAATTTGGGTCCAATCCTCTTGAGTTCCTGAGAGCCAATCAAAGGAAGCATGGTCATGTCTTTACCTGCAAACTAATGGGAAAATATGTCCACTTCATCACAAACTCCTTGTCATACCATAAGGTGTTATGTCATGGAAAATATTTTGACTGGAAAAAATTTCATTACACTACTTCTGCAAAGGTAACTAATTTATACAGATTTGGTTTGTTTCCTAGTCTGTTAATGCATTAGTTTATTTAGTTGTTCCGGTGTTATTAGATTGTAAGATAGAGGGAACATAATATCAGGAAGTCTCTTGGTACTAAGTATTAAAAATTCAAGGTAGAAACCAAAAAAAAAAAAAAAAAAAGCCGGGCGTTGGTGGCGCACGCCTTTAATCCCAGCACTCGGGAGGCAGAGGCAGGCGGATCTCTGTGAGTTCGAGGCCAGCCTGGGCTACCAAGTGAGCTCCAGGAAAGGCGCAAAGCTACACAGAGAAACCCTGTCTCGAAAAACCAAAAAAAAAAAAAAAAAAAAAAAATTCAAGGTAGATATAAATTTGAAATTGATGATGACATACACAAATTAAGCATTTTGTAAGTACTTACTGAGCCAGATGACACTGTGAATAAGGAAGGTACAGATTTATAACCTCAATGCTGTCTATAAAGACTCAGAGTAGAGTGCTGGTAGACTTAACATTCAATACAACTGTTACCACATCCATGCACACAAATATTTCATTAATTTAAGAAGTAGACTGTATATTTAAGCATCATTTAGATGTTATCAAGAATCTCTATTCTAGAGAAAACAACTTACTGAATTTTTACAAGAAAATATCAGACAGTCTCTGTCATTAAGTAGATTGAAGTCTGGTTAAAATGCGTCTACAGAGAATAAAAAGGTAAAGATAAATGAACATCAAGTTAGTCTTACATCAAAGATGATGGGGTAGTCCAGAGAAGCTTCCTTGAGAAGCTGGGATTTAAACTCGACCTTAAAGGAAGAGTATATCTTACCCTGCCTTTGGAAAGTGCTGTGAATCGATATGGGAAAACCAGACAGAGAAGTATGAATGTATTAAATCTATCTTCCAGCCATTTCTTAACAGTGGCTAGCTCAGGTTTAGCCCCTCCCTCTTTGATGGATTTTATTTTCTGCCAGGCATTTGGACACAGAAGCATTGACCCAAATGATGGAAATACCACGGAAAACATAAACAACACTTTTACAAAAACCCTTCAGGGAGAAGCTTTGCATTCACTCTCTGAAGCCATGATGCAAAACCTCCATTCTGTCATGAGGCGGCCTGGCCTTCCTAAATCAAAGAGTGCTGCCTGGGTCACCGAAGGAATGTATGCCTTCTGCTACCGAGTGATGTTTGAAGCCGGATATCTAACTCTGTTTGGCAGAGATCCTTCAAAGCCAGACACACAAAGAGCGCTTATTCTAAACAACCTTGACAACTTCAAGCAGTTTGATCAAGTCTTTCCAGCGCTAGCGGCAGGCCTTCCTATTCACTTGTTCAAGACGGCACATAAGGCCCGGGAAAAGCTGGCTGAGAGTTTGAAGCATGAGAACCTCTCTGTGAGGGACCAGGTCTCTGAACTGATCCGTCTGCGCATGTTTCTCAACGACACTCTCTCTACCTTTGACGACATGGAGAAGGCCAAGACACACCTCGTTATCCTCTGGGCATCTCAAGCAAACACCATTCCTGCAACTTTCTGGAGCTTATTTCAAATGATCAGGTGACTAGCAATTTAAGTGTTTATTATTCATAGTAACAGAAGTTACAATTTTAACTAAAAGACTAGTAGAGCTTTCTTTGCCCTTGGTCAAGAAAGTGATACTCAGTGCCCATGTTTAACATATGCATAACAAAAGCAGCATTTTGTAGGAACACAGTCCCACTGAAGGGGTGTCCCAGAAGCCACAGAACAGATCAGCCAGCACTTGTCAAGATCCAGTCTTGCTCTTTAAGCCCACAGCCTTCCTCTTAATGTCAAATTAAATTCGTGACTGCAGTCTTCATCATGATAAAAACATTTTAAATGATGACTGACTTGTGGACGTCCTAAGGACAGAGGCCACTCCTTATTAATTTGAACATTCCTGTTTCCCTCCTGTCTCGCAGATTTACAGAGTTGCAACATCAATTTCAAATCACCTATGAACTGCAGCCATATTTTAAGTTAAACAGCTATGTGTTAGTCAAACATTTCTGAGGCTCAGTTCACTGTAATCAGGTAAAGTGGATTTCAAACAGCCTCCAACAAATTTCCATGCATTGATGGAAGTATCCTTTATCTCACCATTCAAAAATAGTAACATAAATGGAAATAACAGAAGTGTTCTGAAGCCATGATATGAATTTTAAGAGTAAATTTGAATTTCTACCTGGGAAGTAACCAATACCCTGTAATTGTATGTTAGGTGAAATATTCCTTCTGAGTTACTATATTCATCACATCAATGTCTAGCCTTTATTACACTCATTGGTTTATACAGACCTGACCAAAGCTTTGCTTTTACATGGCAAAGCCCCTCTAATGTCCCTTCATGAATTCAAGGACACGAATACAGTTCAGAATACAGCAGAAGTAAATGGCAATGCCACTTTGCATACTCCCTGGTACCGTGACCAACTCCCCTTGCATACTTCCTGGTAACATGATCACCTCATTGAGAGAAATGGAGTTCTTATTTACTTGCATATTTCTGAATAAGGAAATATTTTCCATATGTCTCTTTTCATAGGAATCCTGAAGCATTGAAAGCAGCCTCTGAAGAAGTGACTGGAGCGTTACAGAGTGCTGGCCAAAAGCCCAGCCCTGAAGGGAATGCCATTTATTTGGATCAAATGCAACTGAATGACCTGCCAGTACTAGGTGTGCTTCCCATGCTACCTCTCAGTCACATCACCAGTAATGATGCTCAACATATATTGTACTACATTCTTGATATTATGCTAACCCCACAACAGTCTGATAACTAGGGACATTACCATTTTTATCTAACAAACAAGGGACTGAGTCCCAGGGGGTGGGATGATGCCGGAATCAAAGGCTGGAACAGTGGCAACACTGGAATAGGACTTTTGATACTCAGTTGCTCTGTGTCCTTTGCCTCCTTGTTAGTACTCCAAAACCATGAACTCAGGATTAAGGAAGCATGGAATTAAGTGTCAACAAGGTACAATCAGGAAAGCATGATCGGCTTGGGTGGTGTGACTAAGGCTTTTCTTCCCCTGTTTCTGTATTTTCTAAAATACAGAAGTGCCACATGCTTATAGTAAAACAATCTTCTTTTTATGTCCTCTTCTGTGAAGGACAGAAGCCCACATATGCTTTGAGGGCAATTTAGCTTATTAGCAACAAAGCCTCGATCCAGCGCTGCCTGGTTTGGGAGGTAGACTGGTCACTTTGCTTTGGGCGCGTCCCTTCTCTCACAAGAGCTAAGCATTTGTGACTGCACACACAATCATGGTGTGAACCCTGGGAACAGGGCAGCTGACACTAGAGGCGGGAAGGCAGGACTGGACCTCTCCTAGACCCCAGCAATACTGAGTTTAGTTTGCTCCTGTATTCCTTTACCTAGAAGCAGGGTGTCGTTTCACACCATCAGATACTGAACAGCTGAAAATGGGATTTTCTAAACACTGGGTGGTAGATTCAGAAAATGCTTGGGAAGATATTTCTCTGTCAGTATGCTAATCCCCAAAATGGTCAACAATAATTCACACAAAACTGATTACCAGTTTTTCCAATTACTTAGCTGTTTAGTGTCCTACAGAAATAAGATTAATATTCTACAAAATAAGAGATGTTTATCTAGTTCCCATTGATGGTGAAGAACATGGCATTGTACCAAAAGATTATTAACTTAGTGGTTCTCAACCTTTTTAATGTTGCACCCCTTTAATACAGTTCCTTATGTTGTGGTGAACCCCAACCATAAAATAATTTTCATTGCTACTTCATAACTGTAATTTTGCTACTGTTCTGAATCATAATGCAGATATCTGTGTTTTCTGATGGTCTTAGGTGACCCCTGCAAAGGGGTCATTTGACCTCAAAGGGGTTAAGACCACAGGTTGAGAATTAATGACTTAACTATTTAGTTTGAAAGTATCTTCCAGGATAGCTGAGTCACAAATAACAGCACAGTGGTAACAGAAGCAGCTTTGGGAAGTTTTTATTTGTTAACTAAAAGTTGTTATTGTTAACAAGTTTTATTTGTTAAGAAGTTTTATTTGTTCATTTTGTATATAGGTTGTCAGAAGTATTTCAGACATTATGTTATGTAGTCTTTAAATGCATAAATTCAGGGATAGAGAGATTGCTTAGTGGTTAAGAGCACTTGATGCTTTTTCAGAGGACCCAGGTTTGACTCACAACACCCACAGGGTGGCTCACAACCATCATAACTCCAGTTCCAAAGGATCTGATGCCATATTCTGACCTCTGCAAACACCGGGCAGGTGCATAGTGCACATACATACATGCAGGCAAAACACCCATCAACATGAAAATAAATAACTTAAAAATATGTTTAATATGCAAATTCTCTCCACCCTCTTTCCTTCCTTCCTCTTTTCTTTTATTTGAAAATATTTAGATAGCATCATCAAGGAGGCTCTGAGGCTTTCCAGTGCATCCTTGAATATCCGGACTGCTAAGGAGGATTTCACTCTACATCTTGAGGATGGTTCCTATAACATCCGAAAAGACGACATCATAGCTCTTTATCCACAGTTAATGCATTTGGATCCTGAAATCTACCCAGACCCTCTGGTAAGTTTCTGCTCATTGAAGTTCAGTATCAAGGTGAATTACAGCTTTGATCTGCTCATTGAAGCCATAGGGACTGTCCCCTTTATTATAGTAAATATTCATATGTTTTGGAAACTTTGGATAGAGGCAAGAGTTTTGAAATTGTAATCCTGATAGTCTTCATTTCATAGTTTCTGTTAAAGTTTTCAGTCATAGCAAAGCTACCATTTTTCTCTTTCCTTAAAAAGTGCCTTCTTCCAAATCCATACTAATGGAGGGTAATGTATTTGATTTGCTCCTTCTATCATCTGTTTAGAACCCTTTGCTTCTTTTGCCTAACTGAGGAATGAGTCCAGGCAGAACAGGAGGTACCTAGAGCTTCTTGGTCTATCAGCTCTTGATAAGCTTTTTCCAGTATCACCTGGTTCAGCGCTGGGTGTACGCCGCTAACTTGCAGAGGATGGAGCTATTAGTAGAAAATTACTCTTTGGGTCTTCCAGGTCAAGAGTGAGATAACTTTCTATCAAAATAGTTCATTGGTTTCTTGTCTCTTTGTTGTAGACTTTTAAATATGATCGGTACCTTGATGAGAAGAGGAAGACAAAGACCTCCTTCTACATCAATGGGAACAAACTGAAGTATTTCTACATGCCATTTGGATCAGGAGCTACAATATGTCCAGGAAGACTATTTGCTGTCCAAGAAATCAAGCAATTTTTGATTCTGATGCTTTCATACTTTGAACTGGAACTTGTGGAGAGCCAAGTCAAGTGTCCCCCTCTAGACCAGTCCAGAGCAGGCTTGGGAATTTTGCCACCATTAAATGATATTGAGTTTAAATATAAACTGAAACATCTGTGACATGCAGTTGGAAGAAGAGGGCACTGGTTGATGTTGCTGGACTTCAGAGAGCCATCACTGAACAGGCCCTTGGGACACGTGCTCATGGATGCTTCCCAGTGACTGACTGTGCCCATGAAAAGAACTATTCCCAGGGTACCACTTTCTGCTCTCACTGCCTGAGTTCCTGGGTGCTCAGATCGCTGAGGTCTGAGTTTCACCACTCTCAGAAAGCAATGTCTTATGTTTTTATTTTCAAAATGAAGATATTCCAATTGGCAGAATTTTTTTCCTAAGGAAATTGCTTTATACTTTTATGAAAACTACTGATTAATTATGAAAAGGCTTCAAATTCACGTTTTAGTGATAATACTTTTTTCACTAGTTAAGTTCTTCATGTGTGAGCATATATTATAAAAACATTTTAAAGGGTCATATCATGCTTTACATCAAGGAAAAGTAAAATATTATTCAACTTTATATATGTCTAGTGCTGAGAGCTTTGAAAATGATGGTACTCTTCTGGAAACACTACACGAAGTATTGACACTTTCCTGTTATATTTTAATTTATTGTTACTGGAAATTCTCATTCCAGTTTTCATCTACCTTATCTCTGTTCTTTTTTGACATTCACATCAATGAGAAGAGTGCTTTTCAGAGACTGAAAAGCACCTCCCCAGAACCCCACTTCAAGGCTTTAATCCCAGCACTTACACTCGGGAGGCAGAGGCAGGCAGATCTCTGTGAGTTTGAGGCCAGTCTGGTCTACAGAGCGAGATCCAGGCAAGGCAGGGCTACAGAATGAGACCTTGTCTCAAAAAAAAAGGTCAATTTTTATGTCATAATTGATTATGAATCAATGCAAAAGAAGAAATTTAAAAACAGAACTCTTAAGGAAATGACCATTTAAAATGGTCTATTTTAGCTATTTAGCTAAAATACGAAGTATGTGGAGTTCACTAAGTGCAAGTTGACATTATATGTCCTTTTAAAATGTCTTGTGTTTATCTCTAAATGCCTTGTAGACGAAGAATAATAATAGTGTTTAAATACTGACTACAATAATACTTTGGTAATGTACTTTAAGCGAGTTACCAGCTGTGCCATTTTTACTGAAATACATACATATATTTATATGTAAATTATATTTATCTTTTTTCTTGTAATATGAATATATGACAATATTGTAACATCTAGTAATTTTAAAACTACCTACCTTTCGAAAATGAACATATGAATGTTTGTGTTTTAAACTTTGAAATAGAATGTTTAAATTATTCATTACTGATAAGTTAAAATACTTTCATCTGATTTATCTAAAATATTCATAATTTCAAGAAACTAAAAAATATTTAAAGTAATCATTCACTCAAAAGTCTCCCTAATATTACAGAAAATTCAATAAAATATTTTTGCATGGAGGGATGGAGCCAGGGCCAGGGTCTAATGGGTGCTCCCGCAGTGAGCTGTATCTATGACTCCTTAAACTTCTAAAATCTTACCACTAAGTATTACCATGGAGTTACTACCTAAATAGGATATTTTTCTTTTCTTTCTCATTTGACAGAGTCCAACAGCAATGCAGCTGGCCGGAACTCTCCACAAAGCTTGGGCAGGCTTCAAATTCGCTCTACTCCTGCCTTTCCCTTTCTAGGAAGTTACTTTACACACAAAGAAAATAAATTGTTCATATAAGGCAGAAGAGTAAGAAAATTCTGCTAGATTCTAATATGTATTAAACTGAATTTCCAATGTGTCTTTTTAAACAAGTTTTATGACTCTCTGAATTGAATGCATCTACACACCTTCCCATGGCTTTCTAAAAGCATATTTTTCATACACAAAATGATGGGTGTCACAATGATGCCTTGTTTCCACGTCTTTATTCTTGTGCAATGATAGTTGGAAATTAGTAGCCCATAGACCAAAGTTCCTGTTTTTGTGCAGCTTAAGTGTTAAGAATGGTTTTTACATTTTAAATGCTTAGAACAGAATGCAAAAGATTATTTTGTGTCATATGTGAAGTATATGAAATGCACACTGGCACACCCATGAATAAATTTTTATTGGAATACCATATGCCTACTTCTTTGCATTATGTATATGATTCTCTTTTCTGGCTTGTGTATGTATGTGTGTGTGTGGTATGCATTTGTGTAGAGGCACGTGTGTAGTGAATGCATGTACACATGTGTGTGCAAGTGTGTGGAGGCCAGAGATTGATGTTGACTGTTTTCCTCATTGCTCCCCGCCTTATATTGAGGCACGGTTACCCCCTTGAGCCGGAGGTCAATGCACAGGCTAGCCTAGCCAGCCAGCTTGCCCCAGTGCCCTTGTCTCTGCCCTCTGAGCACTGAGCACCTGAATTTGCAGGTGGCTACCACACCCTGGTTACATGAGTGCTGCGGATGTGGCAAGGGCTTGGCCTCCTGGGCCCAGTGTCTATGGCTTCTTGCTGTGTAATTGAAAAGCCAGGAAGATACAACAGAGACAAGAAGGCCAAAGGGCTTAACATTTCAGAAATGAGTTTCTTCACAGAAAAAACAAACAAAAAGCCAACAACAAAACAAGACACACCCACCCCACAAAAAATATCAAAGACAAAAACTCCCAAGTATCTGCCAATTCAACTCTATAGCAAACCCCTGCTTGGTACTTTTAATTGATAGCTTTATTAACTTAAAAACGTACTAGTACTTGGAAAAATTTAAAGTACATGAGGGGGAATTCATTTAAAAACCTCTGGAAATAATTTTATCTGAAATAATCTTAATTTAGGAATTAAAGACTACACTTTTCAATTTAGAAAAAAAAAATTTATTTGAAAGAGGCATCTACATTAAAAAACAATTCTGTACATTGTATATGTATGTGTTAAAATATCATAGTAAATCCTGTTTTATACCAACTAAATTGATAACAATATTAGCCTAATGTGGGGTAAAATGGGCATGAGACAAACTAATGTGAACCTTTCCAAGGATTGCTATAATCCAGTGTAGACTGTACATGTCTACATGACACAAGTGTTATCTTTGAGTCTCCACACTGAGGTTCATGCTCCTATCTCCTCTGTATTTCACAAGAGAAGGAGACTCTAGGAAGGTAAGTCATTGGCCCTCCATCCCAATATTATGACAAATGGCAGAGCTGTGAGAATTAGAAACCAGGTTACTATGCTTCAAAGCTAAGATTTGAAGGAGGCCCAGATGGCAGACTGTCTTAATTCAAATCAGTGAAAAGATAAGCCACAATAAACACAGTCTCTGAGGCTTCCCATTCCCAGGTCTGTACTGGCTGGGAACATCACTCAGTCAGAGTATGGGCACTTCAGTCTGCTTTTAAGTTGGTCAAGGGGGCCAGGGAGGTGGCTGAGGGCTCTGAGCACCAAGGCAGGCTACCACATATCAACTACATCTTGTCCTCACTTCACCTCAGATGACAAGGCGTCTCTTCGACCACTGACAGAACAACGTGAATTGCTTCTTGTGCAGTCTTGTGATGTTCTTAGGGTTGTGGTTTATATGTCTTTAAAGCATTTAAAGGAAAATTAAGGCTTTAGCTTTGGTCTCAGTAATGGATGGGATGTTTGCAGTTTCTCTCCAAAGCTTTCTCCACCCATACTAATGGTTAGCAAATCAGTCCAACTCTATTCCATGAGAAGGCAGTGGTACCAGCTCCTTAGACCGTCTCACTCCATTGGTAGTCATGTAGTGCAGATCTCACTTTAGTTAGAAGCTGACATTTGGTAAAGAGAAAAGTGATTTTGTTTAAAATATTTCACAGTGCAAAAATAGGGCATGTGGGGCTTTAGAGATCATTATTTGTCCGTTACATGGTGTTTGTGCTGAGCTGATGGTACATTTCCCATTATGTAGCCCACCCTCCAAATCACAGGCTTTATACTCCCAATGACCTGCCTATCTGTAAAGGTATCCATGAAAAATAAAATAATTAAAAACAAGTAATGGCTGGAAATGTTTCCATTACTCATGTAAAAGCTTTCACCTTTGGTGTAGGACATCCGATGCAGGACCCCACTCACACTAAATAAGGCAAATGCTTTGTCACTGGGGTCCATGTCCAGCCCCCAATGCTCACTTTTGCTAAAATAAGTAAGTACACAAGTCTATGGTGTCAACTCCATTTCAAAGAGTCTTGTCTCCTTCAGTGCTGTCTAGTAAGCAGTAGTAAATTGATTAGAACACAGATTTAACAACAGTTATTATAGATCAAACAAGCGGCCTTTGGAATCATGATTACTTGTGCGACTCTGATAGAGAAAATTAACTTTGAAAAAAAGTGAAAAAACACAATGAGCCCCCACTTTGATCTAGATCGACCAATTGTGTGTGCTTCCTTTCCTTCTTTTGGTCATACTTGCTTTTTCATTCAGATGATTTGAAAAGTGATGCTGGTGATATTTTCTTTGATGATTTTTGTGATTTCAAGTTTCCAATTTGTCATTGTGAATCTGGCTACTTGGACCCTTTGGAGCAAGCAGGGGTGGGGGTCCTCAAGAGAGCTGGTTTGACTATCGAATTCCTCACCAGAATCAACGTGGCATGGAAGCTCGTCCCTCTGCTCTCTGCCCTTCTGCCAAGGAAAGCAGTCAAATTTATTTAAACTCAGAAGGACCAGAACCTTGTCTTACCAGCTTGAAATAAAAAGGGGGTGGGAGAGTGTGTTCTTTTGCCTGTGTGTGTGTATACGTTTCATATGCTTACTTGACAGAGAAAAAGTGGACAACATTCCCCTGAACAATTTTGAGAAAAATTTCTGTCTCTGAAATGAGACACTTTTCTATGACTACTAGCTAGGGAAGGGGCTGTCAATCATCCTGGAGTTCAGTCCTGCCCTTGACTACTGGTCACATGGTCAGCCACATTTTCAGTACTTGACATGTCTACTGTCATCTCTCAGTATCTTTCCTTGACTCTTCCCACATTCTGAGGTGTTCACTGAATTATGTTGGTTTCTGTTGGTATCAAACTTGTACTCCTCAGGAGCATTGAGGCAGAGAGTAGGGTTAACACAGATCAAATTTACATTAACAGTGTGTGCACGTTCAGCGAGTAATGATAAGTTGGTGCTGGTTTCTTTATGATATGTAGTACAAGCAAGTCTTTATAACACATATCTCTCCTCTTTGCTATTATTTAGAATTCTATGGGTAAAAGCAATAAAATTAATCTTAGTCTCTATCTTAAAAACTTAACAAAGATGTAGGGAAATGTACACTAGAAGTTTTAAATTATATTTTGATTAGTTATTTACTATGCTGGAGTCAAACCTAGGGTCTTATACATGTCAGACAGGTACTCCATCACACAGTTGTATTGCTAGCCTTGGTATTCATCTTCTTTCCTGGAATGTGTCAGTGGGAAGATGGTTAGGGGAGCTATCAGGAACACAGTGACAGCACCAGAGTATATGTACTGAGGCTACCATGGTGTATATGACAAGGGCCATTTAGGTATTTCTAAGATAGAGGGTAAGTGTTTCTTACCTGCACTGTGGTCATGGAAAAGTATCCACCACTCAAAGTCAGCTATCTCTCTGATCTTAAGTGCCTTTACTTCTTTACATTTTTGGAGGCATTGCAAAGAATTCCAGTTTCTCAGAGACTGTAATCATATTTCATTGCACAGCCCATAAAGGCTCCTACTCATATCAGACACGCATTAGGAGTTTAAGCACTGAAGACCAGGACAGAATGAACAAATGATTTGTGTGGAGGCGTTCTGTCCTGTTTTTCCTCTGTCGTCCAGACTCCATCAAGCACAGCACTGTTTGGTGGCATTACTAGGAAGCCTTTGCTTCTTTCTATTGATCTCCAATCCTAGTAAAATATTGGGAAAGAGTTACACACAGAACTGAGCACGCAGCTGGCAGGTGCTCACAACGCCTGACTAGATGGGTTTACTAATAACTGAAAGCTGGTGGATACACAGAGGGCTCTGTAGTGTGAAGAGATTGCTGGGGGGTTTTGGAAAAAGAGAAGAAGGCTAGAATAGCATTGTTACACCAGTGACCTGTTTTTTCCAGTTAGGCCCCACCTCCCAAAGGTTCTATTACAAAATAGTGCTGCCAGCTAGAGACTGAGTGTTCAAACACACCAGCATAACGCTGATGTTATAATGCCCCCAATTACCAAATAACCTGTCACTGGAGAAAATTATACTCCATACTAATTATTTTTTTTTTTTTTTTTT